CAGATATACATATGCCTTGTTTACATGTATAATAGCTATTTATTTATGGTAGGAGGGTCCTTGCTCACCTAAAAGGTAATTCCAAGGCACAGCTTTTGTTTTCTTGACTGCTGTATCTGACACCTGTAACAGTGCTGCTTGGCATGTAATGAATGTTTAATAAATATTAACTGAATGAATGAACAGAAGCTATTCTTCCTGTAATGACTGGAAGGGTCATCAGAGACCAAAGTTCTTCATGGGCCAGGAAAAGGAGAGCAGGACATATCAGATGACCTGCCCTCAGGTCATCTGAGAGGTGGAGGAAGGGCCTGAGTCCTGGTGTCGCTGCTCTGCCATGGCCAGCCTGCTGGGAGCCAGAGCCCAGCGGGGTGGCAGGCTGGTGCTGGGGCTCCACATGAGGGCTAGAAAGGAGCTGATGGCTCTCTCCCCTAGGTGCTGGGTGCCTGGGACCCCAGCGACTGGCTTTTTATAAAAGCAGAAAAGGACAGGTGGAGATCCTGAAGCCTGCTCTGGAAACCCATCAACAAATGTGCTCAGAGCTGAGGGGAACTGCAGCAGCACAAGGAGCCAAAGGCACTGCATTTCCCTCTAAAATCCACGGCCATCAAGGACCAGCTCAGCTTTCTGCACTGATGGAAGGCAAGCAACTGGATGACTTTCTTTTGTACAGACACAGGGGTCTCTGGGGACAAATCTCACCCCAGCTCCATCATTCCTAGGTGTACAACCTTGCTTGTTACCAAGTTTCATTCTTTCTTTCTTTTTCCTGGTACTGGGGATTGAACCCAGAGCCTTTGCACTGCGCCACATCCCCAGCCTTTTTTATTTTTTTATTTTTTTGCTTTACCGTGGATGGAACTCAGGACCTTGCACTTACAAGACAGGCGTGGCGCCCCTGAGCTAAATCCCCGGCCCTCTTTTATTTTTTAGTTTGAGATAAGGTCTGGCTAAACTGCCAGGGCTGTGCTTGAACTCAGGATCCTCCTGCCTCAGCATCCCGGAATGCTGGGATTACAGACAGGTGCCACCACGCCAGCTCCAGCTTTTTGACTCTTAGGATCAAATGAGAAAACACAGGTACAGCATTTGGCACAGCACATGACACTGCAAGTACAGGATAGCTTTAGCTTTGATATATGACACCACTAATATGCAAAGTCACCCCATGAACCTCACCAGCTCTTACCATTGCCCCCTAGAGCTGGGAATCTGAACACAGGGTCTGCCACAGAAAGGGGGCAGCGCCAGGGAGGTTCTTAAAGGACCCCACTTTCCCACCCATGAAGAGTGGAAAGAACTCCGGTTCCACACTAGGCTCAAGCACGCATAATCATTCCGGCCTCACGTGGCCGAAACAAGGCAGATTCCAGCAGGAATGTATCAGCCCCCCAGGTCTCTATTCCCCCAGGGAGGTCCCTGGAGTTGGGGAGACAACTGCAAACATCCTGTGCTCCCTTCCCCACCTGTTCCACCACCCCAGTGAAAAAGTTTATTAAGGAACTATCCCACCAGTAATCAGAACGTGATGACTAAATGAGCCCGGAGTCTTCCACTCTGGACCTTAGTCTCTTCATCCCTATAAAAAGAACAGCAGCGTCTACCTCTCGGGATAAAGGCAAGGTTTAATTCGGTTCAAGCACTGTGCCTAGGACATCTGCTACTGCTTTTAATATTCTAGAAGCCTAGTGAAGCCAATACTGGAATAAGCATTAATTGCTTCAGAAGAACACTCTGTACAGCAGACGGCTCTTCTCTAGACCACAGCCAGGCCAGATCCTCCGCCAGGGGCCACACTTGGCAAACAAACATCAGCCGCGCCAGAGCACCCCAAAAACCTCAGGTGAAGGGGTGAGGGCCCAGGAGAGGCGAGGGCTCAGAAAGGCACTGGTGGAACTGAGGACCAAACAGCTCTCGAGGAGGCGCTGGAAGGTGAGATGTTCCCTCGTGATTAACCTGGACCTAAGATCTGTTACTTTGAACCCCCCAATGCAAACTGCCACCTCTGGTTTGTATTTCTGGAGCGTTCCTGCAGCAGTACAGTCCGCGGGTTACCCTGGAGTGACCTGAACCTGGAAAGGGGAGTTTCCAAGAGTGGGTGACTTTCGCCTATTCAAATAGCCACCCCGGGCCTCGGTTTCTCCTCGAAAGCGCGAGCTACTGATCGCCGCCTCTGCAGGGCGGCCACTGGGGTAGACCGGGTGGCGTGCACCAGAGCGCTTCCCCGGCACCGCGCACAGCGGCCTCGTCCCCCCGGGAGCCGAGGACGGCGCGCGCACCAGCCAGGCCCTTCCCCGGCCGCGGCGGCGGGAGCGCGCGGGGGCCCGAAAGGCCCGAGGAGGCGGAGGCGGAAGCGGGGGCGGACGGAGCGCGGTGGGGATGTTTAAAGGAAATTTACAATCATTTCCTCTCTGTGGTTTGGTGACAAATCAACAACATCCTGTTCTTTTGTGAGGCTCCGGGCGCCTGCGAGGCGGGGCGGCGCTCGGCTCTTAAAGAGACACACACAGGTCCCCTCCCCCACGGCTCACCCCCACGGCGCCACCTCCAGGGGCTGCCGCCCGGGCCGCGACCCGCCTCGCGTCCCCTCCCCCGCGGACCTCCTCCCGCTCCCAGGTCGCGAGGGGATAGCGGTGGCGGCCACCCCTCTGAAGATGTCGCAACCCGGGGCCATCTCCGGCCGAGGGGGCGGCGGGGCGCCCGCCAGGAGAGTCCCTTCCCTTCCCTCCCCGACGTCGGGGCAGCGCCGCCGGGGCTTCGGACCTCCGAGTAGTTTTCATCCCCCTCCCTCCTCTCGAATTTTCCAGCCCCCCAAACTCTGTGGATTTATGGTTAAAATGTCGACGTACACACACGAGGTTTATAAAACGCCAAGGCAAGAGAGACTTCCCGAGCTGTAGGAGTAATGAGAATCAGATGGTTAGGACCAGGAAAATAAAAAATATTCAACTACCCTCCTGGGATTTCGTTCATTCTGTCATTTAATGAGTATTTTTTACTAAGTGCTGGTCACTACTCTCCTCCCACCCCCAGCAGGAACAAGACGGACACAGTCCCTGCCCCCAGGGGCGACTTAGATCTTCAAAAATAAATAAGTGAAAGAACAGGAATATTTCAGCTCTAGAAACGCTGTGATAAAAAGAGCATCCTATTCCAGTCCAGTTTGAGGAGGTGACAGAGCTGAGACCTAAGGGTGAAAGGCTCCAGTTCCAGAAGGACTAGGTCATCAGGAAAGAGTCTGCAAGCTGGATGTGCCCCACAGAGCCTAAAGGCCACTGAAAGCCATCCCCGGGGCCAAATTTCCCCAGTGGACAACCCTGGGAGGTTGGCCTTGGGGAGAGTAAGAGACCTGAGTACTGCTCTCTGACCTAAGTCACCATGCGTCCTACCTGGAAACTTCGAACATGACCACGTTCAGTAATTCTTAGTCTGGGTGCAAATCAGAACTCTCCTGACCCACTTGAGATCAAGAGTCACAGAATCCCTGCCACAGGCTGAGACACTGACATTTGGGACGGCTCCAGGAAGAGCAAGTTTAGCTTGCAGACAGGATTAAGAGGCATGCAGGCACTGAGTGCTTGGTATCCACCGTACAACATCCTAAGTAGGCAACATATACATTTCCTCTAAATTACAAGGAAAACCGCTGCCAAGTAAGATAGGTGTCATTATTTCCATTTTGCAGATAAGGAAACAGACCCAGAGAGGTTGTGCAGTTTGCTCAAGGCTGGACAACTGATAAGCAATCTCATGTGTGTATCCTCTAAGCGGGGTGGCTTTCAGGTGACAAGGAGCAAATCTCTACCCGATGAGGTTGGTAAACAGGAGAACAGCTACCAAGACAGGAGCGTGAGGTACACTAAGCCAGAAAAGTTCCTACATCTCATATGGAGGTATCAGACCAGCCTGGATGCCCAGAGTGGGGGTTCCAAATGACAGGGTCTAGCACTAAGAAGACAGCCTTTATTTCCCTCCCCATGATCCTCTTGACCATTTCAGGGATGATTTCCATAAATCTGAGGCGTTGCTTCAGCCAGAAAGAGGAACCATTTGGTAGCATAAGGAAGAGAAAGAACTTCCTGTGTACCTTAGGAATAGCCAGCCCAGAATACACTCCTCCACACTCCACACTCTCCTATATGGGGCCCGACCCTGGCCTTTCCACCCTTTGACCACTTTCCCATTTGTGCTTTCCCTGAGGCAAGACCCAAAAGGGTAAGTGTAGGCTGGGATGGTTCTCTAGGCAAGTAAAGATCTATGAAAGCAAAGATTAGAAAAAAAGGAAGATGGTCCCAGCTTCTGGTGAAATAGAATGCTGCTGTTAAAAAGAGAGCTAGGGCCGGGGTTTTATTTATTTATTTATTTTTATTTTGGGGGGGGGTACCCGGGATCGAACTCGGGACCTTGCACTTGCACAGCAGGCGCCAGAACCACTGAGCTAAATCCCCAGCACCCTGGGCCAGGGTTTTAGCTCAGTGGTTCTGGCACCTGACTCAAAAGCAGAAGGTCCAGAGTTTGATCCCTGGTCCCCCCGCCCCCAAAAAAGAAGAGAGCTGTGTAAATCAGAGATGTTCATGATGTATAAGGGTCAGAATAGGATCTCACTGATACATAAACACTATGTGAGCAAGTGCTTGTAGAGGTGCATGTATACATACATCCATCAGAACTACTTAAAGACAGACTCAAACTCAGTAGTGGCAACTGTGCAGATCCTTGGCAGGAGAAGAATACAGAAAAGGGGGTTTTTTTGTGGTATACTTTTTGCTTTCTCACATTTATCTCCACAGTATTTAATTAGTATCTAAATTGTGGCCAACAGTCATGTGGATTATTTAAAGATAACGCTTGTATTTACAAATAATAATATGAACATTGAAAGGGGGACCATCAGAACCCTCCCTGGATGGGTGGACCCCTGGCTGTGTCATCTTTTCAGAGTTTCTAGCTGACACCAGGTCTCTCCTCCTCCACCTGCCTTGCCAGCGGGAATCTCTTACCTGCTCAGGTGTCTCTCCGCCAGTCCGAGAGTGTTGCGACACATTCCTGGATGCTAGAAGACTGATTTGAGAGCTGCTGGCTCCAACTGACATAAGAGATGACAGAACTCATGTGGGAAAATATCGCAGGTGCTACCCGGCAGTGCTAGCAGAGGACCTGGACGGTGGGCGTGGCGGTGGTATTTGGGCCTCGAGACTTCCCTTTGTGTCTGCGTGTTGTTCTGGAACCTGAGAAATGGACTCTGACAGTCCAAACCCCGAAGAGAAACAGTGGTGCTTGGTGGTCAGAACACGAGTCCAGAAATCCCTAAAACGAAGGCCGGGGTCTGCTCACAGTGCATGTGAAGAAACGTCACACTCTAGAAAGCAATCATTTGTCTTCAGTGCTTCCTCTTACATATGTTTTCTTAGGTCTTTGTATTGTGCCATGATTCCAAGCATGCGCTAAGAAGACAGAGAAGTCAGGTGGGACTTCCAGCTCCATCACCTTCTGAACTCCTCAGTTTGCTCTTCTCTAAAATGGGAATAGTAATAGCACTTAGCATGTAGAGTCAATAGAATTAAATGAGCTAATACAGAAAAAGCCTTTAGCCCTTTAGGTACCTGGGACAGACAGTAAATCTAATTGCCAGTTTTGTAACTAACAATACAAGATTCTCCGAAGTTGCTGACTTTACCAAGCAAGTGAGAATAAAGCAAGTGACTGTGTAAAGTAGCTCAAAAGTATTGACTCAAAAAAAAAAAAAGAAAAGAAAAAGGGCTGGGGATTTAGCTCGGTGGTTTCACCGCTTGCTGCGCAAGCACAAGGACCCGAGTTCGATCCCCAGTACCAAAAAAAAGTATTGACTCACCTACTACCGTCCTCGACCTCTGGGATTAGTGGTCTCTCAGAAGGCTTGTGTTTGCCAAAATCCCACATGGTTGAGCTATTACCTCATTCAAACATTGTCACCTTCCCTGGGTGTAATGGGACACACCTGTAATCCAAGCTACTCAGGAGGCTGAGGCAGGAGTATCTCAAATTTTAATCCAACCGGAGCAATTTAGTGAAACTACATATCTCAAAAAATAAAAAGGACTGGGGGTAGTTCAGTGGTAGACCACCCCAGATTCAATCTTAGTACTGGGGGGTGGGGGGAAGTGGAGGAAAAGGGAAAAGAATAAAGGAATATCTTCACCATTACCTAAAATCATTTAGTAAATCCAGATTTATAAATATCTCAGTGTGCTAGCAGCTGCACAGATAGATGCAGGCAGAAGAAATTCCTTCCTTCCTTCCTCCCAGGGCCTGGCCACCTTTGAATCTTCCTTAGACCCTTAAATGACAATCCCTTTTTTTTCTTTTTCTGGTTTCTTTTCTTTCTTTCTAACCTCTGCTTCCTCTTCCTTCAAACTAGTTATGAAAAAGAAAGTTTCTGGGGAGAGGAGGTTTAAACTGATGGGCCATTAACAGCATAACAAAGCAAAAGGAATTTTCCAGGTGACCAGCCAGCAACTTCAGAGCAGCTCTATTTAAAACTTGCTGCTTTGAAGGAGGGATGGTCAGAGAGGGTGGGGAGGGATTTTTTTCTAGCTGATGGAGAACTGGAAAATGCCCTTTTTTACAACCAGCAAAACCAGTATCATAACATGCCACCTGATGTGTGCAGACCTTCTTTTATCAATACTCAGAATGTAGATTTTTGGGAAAAAGATGTCTATTGGCTGAAACCATAAGTAAAAGATTCTCTCTGGCTTCAGACTTAGGGAATACCTGGATCCCTGCTCTGGCCTCAACTATGATCTGCTAAAATATAACATGCCCATAAATTTCTTCTAGCCCTCCAAAGGAACACAAGTGCGTGTGCATGTACACACGCTGCCTTATCCCAGCTGTGGCAAAGTTTGGCAGAAGCACTTGGATATACTGTGTCCCGTCCCCCCCCCCCCCCCCGCGATGATCGTATTTTAAAGTTTACTGGCTGGCATGCCCTGAGAAAATTAGCTGGTGTCTCAAGTGGCAGCAGGACTGCTCTGTGGAAATGCTCTTCCAAGGGTCACCTTTGCGCTGAGGAGGGAACACTCAACAAAGCGTTGCTGAAATTCCACAGGGGACCCTTATCACCTCTCCCACCATTCTCCAGGATATTGCTCCAGGGATTTCCGCAGGCTGTGGCCACCTACAAAGGCCTTAAAATTCCTCTCATCCTAGCCAGGGACTTAGCTCAGTGGTTCTGCTGCCTGCCTCACAAGCACAAGGTTCGGAGTTCGATCCCTGGTACCAAACAAATAACAAAATTCTTGTCATCCCTTGCCAGGCATAGCGGTGTGTGCTTGTAATCCCCGAGCACTCAAGGGCCAGCTTGACAAGGCTTACAAGGCCAGCCTGAGCTCCACAGTGAAACTCTGTCAAAAAAAAATTTTTTTTCCTTAACCTAGGACCTCCCTGGGGCCCTGGCAAACGGAACAAATCTGCTTAAGTAGTAAGAGATGGCCTCAATCACAATGGTTTGACTTATGATTTTCCAATTCTAAGAGGGCACAAAAGCAACTGAATCATGTTTTGAATTTTTCTTTTTCCAGGCCAGTAGTATGCAATATGATCTTATGTGGGCAGCAGTGGCAAGGGTGGCTCCTGGTCAGCCACGAAATGACCAGCCATGTATCACGGATACATGACAGCAGACTGTGTTGCTAAGCTGTGATGTTGGGTAGGTTAGCTGTGTAACATGCATGCTCAACTTTCACAGGTTTATGGCGATGTAAATACATCATAAATCTAGGTGCATCTGTAGTTATATACATTTTTTCCATTTCTGTAATGCAGTGGCTTCTAGAATTTTTAAAAAGCAATAGAACCCCTCTCAAAAGAATGAAAAATATAAAAAAAGGAATGAAACTATTGTTTATGGTTGAAGGCAGTCACGGGGGGAAATATATTTTAGAATAATATTATATTATTACTTTCAGTAATTTTGACATTATACATAAGGAGGTAGCTCAGTGGTAGGTAGAGTGCTCAGCTAGCATGTGTGTGGCCCTGAGTGTGATCCCTAGCACCCCACCCCACCCCCAAGGAAGGAAGGAAAATGGCATTGTATTGAAGTCCAAACTATGCAGCCCTCTGTGGTCCACCCCTGCCTACCTGAGCAATGTAGTTATTCTCTTAGGGTCCACACTCGATTCACTCTTTGGTTTTCTTGGTGCAAGTCCTCTACTAGGTACCTGGAAAGAGATATACAAGAGGTGGATTTTTTAGACCTTGCATATTTGAAAATAGCTCTATTCTTAATTTTTCTTCACTTTCTAATTTATTTATTTTTATTAACATTTTTGAGATGGAGTTTATGTCGTCCAGGCTGGCCTTGAACTCTGGACTCAAGTGATCACTCTCCTTCAGCCTTCTAAGAAACTGGGACTACAAGTACACACATCTGAACACCTGCCCTTCTTCACATTTTGATCATTTTGCTAAGTATAAAATCCTAGATTGCCTATCATTCCCTGACACCACAACCTCTGCTTCCCCACAGACCTTAACCTTCTCCAGGGTCCAGATCTTTGAACTAGAAGCTACTTTTGCATGGAACATTTATCCCCATCCCCACCCCCGCCTCGGTATAGATTAACACCTATGAGAAAAATCAGGTCATTACTTTCATCAGGGAAACATCCCTGCTGGGCCACCTACCCCTACAAGGCTGGGCAGGTACGTCTCCTAGGAGTTCCTGCAGCACCTACCACTTGTCCTCTTGTTGTACTTGTGAGACCATACTATCATTACCTCATTGATTTATGTGTCTTCTGCTAGATTTCAAGCATGAGGACTGGGAATACGCAGCCATTGTGCCATTTTGAAAATATTTGTAGGCCAAAAAATGGTCATGATTTTTTAAATTAAAAGATAGAATCTGGGCCAGGGATGTAGCTCAGTGGTTCCACACCTGCCTGGCACACGCAAGGTCCTGGTACCCCCCACCCCCCAAAAAGATATAATCTATAATAAAGTGACAAACATCCTCATCAGTTTCAGATTTGGGATGAGAGAAAAGGATTGCTCTGAAGAAAAGAAATGCTACCCTGATAGAAAGAACTCATATTTTTCTTTTGTGTGTGTGTGTGGTTGTTTGAGGCAGGGTCTCATTATTCAGTCCAGGCTGGCCTTGAACTCACAATGTAATGCAAGCTGACCTCAAATTCAGCGATCCTCCTGCTTCAGCCTCCTGAGTGCTGGGATGAGAGGCCTGCGCCACTACGGCCTGCTGATTTCTTGTTTGATACCCACTTCCTGTGAGGACAGGTACCAGTTCTGCTTTGTGTACTGCTGTTTTCCCAATATCCAGGCCATTAAAAAAGACAGCTTAATAAAGAGTGGTTGAATGTAAAGCACCAGCCTAGCATGCTGTCATCAGCGCCAAGAAAAACACAAGGAGTTGCGAATGAGTGAACTGCTCCAGATAAAGCAAGTTCTATGCATTATACTACAAAGAAAACTAACAGAGAAAAAAAATACCTACGTTGTCTTTACCATTTCGGAATAAGGGAGGTTTGGACTGCCAATTCATTATCTCTTCCCTCTGCACCCCACCTCCAACAGCCCACCAGAACCTTCTCTTCATTCCTGATCCTAGGCACAGGCATTCTTCTTGGGACACCTGAACTTGAAGCTCTGGAATTTGTTGACCCTGAACCTCTCCTTCCTGGCCCACCTTTCTTCAGGGTCAAGTCCTGTTGTCTCCTCTTCCTTTACAACAACTTTCACAGACAGTCCTCCTGTGCTCCTCTTGCTGTTTCCCCATTGTGACTTCCATCACCCCATTCCATGCCTGTAATTTCACACAGCTCCTTCCTTTATTCCAAGTCGCCTCGAACCTTCAGATCAGTCTCTCGGAAGTGCCACTTTCATCCCGTCTGTTCACTGCCTGAAACACCTTCTGAGGTTGCTAATTTCCTTTCCCACTAAAGTGTAACTCCTCTGCCAGTTTTCAACCTTCACAATTACTTCTAACACGTCTGTTCTCCTTCCCTAAACACACCCACCACTTACTGCATAATACAACTCACTCTGGTCAAGCAAGATGATTCAGCGTCTCAGAGAGTACAGCAGACTGAACAGACCTTGTGCATTCTCTCCTCTGGAATGTTCTCACCTCTCCCTTAATCCACTCCATCTTTCCAGATCCGATTTAAATCTTCCCTCCTCCAAAATACCTTCATTGACAACTTTAGGCCTTGCTGATCTCCCCAACTTTAAAATCCAAACAGTGCTTATCATAAATCCCGATGTTGTGCCTTATCTAAGGCACTATCCAGTCCACACAGGTTAGGTCAGTGTCGTCTTCCTCCTCCTAGCCTCGGTGTTCCCTGATGGTAAACATGGAAGGATGTCCTGTCCTTGCACCTAGCAGCACCTTAGTAAGAGCTCAACACACACACACCCCAGTTCAATACAGTAGCATTCAGCAAGTGATAGGAGAGCTGCCTTCAGAAACAGCCATCTGGGATAAATCCCAGGCCTACAAATACATAGAATTGGTAGGTGGGCAGTTGTATTTGTGAGTGCATCTGGGCAAGCAATTAATATCGTCTGAGCCTCAGGGTACTGGTCTATGAACTGACATAGCAGCAGTGCTGCCTCATCAGGTTGTTGTGCAGATTGCATGGGATCATGGCGGATAAGGCAGGTTGCACACCACTCTGATACATGGCCCAGCACTCACTGTATGTTATGTTGTTAGAACACACAGTCTGGTCCCTCTCCTTGGAGTTGAACTTTGGTCTTGGCTTTGTTTTTTTCTTTCTGTCACTGAGCTGGCCTTACAGATAGTGATGCCCTGCCAGTCCCTAAGTGATGCCCTGCCAGTCCCTGCCTGTATGCGGCTAGGGAGAAGTTCCATATAAGGCCCCACTTTGTCCTTCCTCCTGCCCTCAGCACAGTGCCGAGTTGTTGGGTGCCCTTGGTTTGTAAACCTTCCTTTTTTTTTTTTTTGGTACCGGAGATCGAACTCAGGACCTTGTGCTTGCAAGGCAGGCGCCGGAACCACTGAGCAAATCCCCGGCCCTGTAAACCTTCTTAAGCCTTTCCTTCTCCTACTTTATCATTATCATTCTATTGTCAAAGCAAAACATGCTCATTGTTTAAAAAATTATTTTAAGGTGCAAAAGATGTAAAAATGAAGAGTGAAAGTCTTACTCCCCACCCAAACCTCATTCCTGCACTGCAGAAGTAGCCAGACAGCAGCCTCTTGTGTATCTTTCTAGAAATCTTCTCCATCTACAGAAGCATATACCTGCACGTGCACTCTTCTTCTATGACTCGAGTTAGTCACTAACCAGTCTTGAGCGCCTTTCTAGAGCCACGCCTACAAGGGCCACTACACACCATTTCATGGCAACATACACCTCCCTCAGAGAGCTGTCCTTGCTGATTTCCGCAGCTCCCTGCAGATGGGCAGCCAGGGTGCTACTACTAATACTGCAGCGAGCATCCTTGAATGTGGGTCTTTGTGGACCCCTTAAGTCTTCAAGGCTTCTAACTGCCACATTAGACAGGACTACTCTTCAATTTGGCCTCTTCTCCTGACTCTCCACCTGGGCACAGTGTTCAGTCCCAGGGCCTGCTGACTCAAGGATGGACAGCATTGGCCCCCTTCCTCCTAGGCTCAGAATAGAAGAGGTCACTGGGCTACTTCCTTGTGATCCTGCCCAACAAGAGCTCACGGAAGCAGGCTTCTCCTTTTCTCTGGAAACACAGGGGAAATCCTGGGTATCTGGGAACAGAACTGCAGAAACTGGCTGTATTCTTGGGTAGCCCAAGGAAGCCCCAGTGAAGGAAGGAAATGTGTATTTGACCCTTAAGACAAACCCAGCTGTTTTCAGTGGGGCTGAGGGCTATAACCGTGCTCACAAGGGCAGTAGCTTTGACGGGCTTCAGGAGGTGGCTGGGAGGAAGTGAACACAGGCTTCTCATCAGCAGTGACGTGGCACTATTATCCAAGCTCACATCCATCCCTACATGGTGTCCTTTCTTAGGCCAAGGACAGGATGGGATGCAAGAACTGGGGCTGCATGTCACCAGCTTGTCCTGACTCACCCAGCCACTGACTGTCCCCTGGAGGAGAAGCCTCAGGAGCTGGGAAAGGGGGGCCCCGGGCTTCGTCCAGGTTGCTCACTGATCACTGGGGGGTCTACAGCAAGGTACCACACCATCTGGAACTTCAGCTGGCCCGTTCCTTCTCAGTCAAAAAAGCCATACCCACAAACAGTGTCTGTCTTAGACTGTCCTTGAGAGCAGGATGTTCGCTGAGTGCTTAACACAGAACATGACGTTGCATAAGCAGTCAATAAATATTTGATATCTGCTTCACTTATGTCTCCTGCCCTAGCACAGCACTCAATCCAGAGTATGTGCCTGATGAGGCAGTTATTCATTTATGTATTTATTTTTGGTGCTGGGGATGACCATGCTAAGCACATGCTCTACCTCTGAGCCACATCCCCATCAGAAATGTACTTTTAAAGACATGAATAACCTCTTCCTTTCTGGGAAACAAACAGGAAAATTACAAAATGATTGTAAATGGCCTGTCCAACTTCCCTGTCACCCTATTCTTTTTTTTCTTAGTGCTAGTGATTGAACCCAGGGCTTCCTGTATTCGAGGCAGGTGCACTGCCACTGAGCTGTGACTGCAGCCCTCCTGCTCTCTTTACAGCTGTGGCGATGTGTTTGGGTTTGGTCTTTACCTTTCTTTTCTTCCCTCCTTCCTTTCCTCCTTTCCTTTTTTCCCTCCCTCCCCTCCTTCCTGTTTTTCTTTCCACACTGGATCTTGGTATGCTTCCCAGACTGGTCTTGAACTCCTGGCTCAAGCAATCCTCCTGCCTCAGCCTTTTGAGTAGCTAGGACTATGGGTATGTACCACAGTACCATAGTTGTTTATCTTTCTTTTTCCTTCTCCCTCTTTTGCTCTTCCTCCTTTCTCCCTCTGTCTAAGAGAAGATACTGTATTCTCCCTAGTTTATCCTCGAGATCTGGTCCCATAAGATGAATAAGTTCACAGTTAGAGTCCTAGAATGCAGGCCTTACCTCAGAGTTTCTAAAGAGAAACCAAACGTCGAAAGACCATAGAATATCTGAGGAGAGTCAGGTGTGATATTACATGCTTGTAATGCCAATAGTCTGGGAAACTGAGGCAGGAAGATCAGTAATTTGAGCTCAGCCTGGCCAA